GTCGATGGGGCCGGGAGCGCCCCACGTAGCGCAGGGTGGGAGGAGCGGCTGGGGCTCGGGGAGAGCCAGCGCACCGCTCTGGAGCAAGCGATTTAACAAAGCTGGGGCGCGCTGCCTTTCGCTGCCGTGCGAGGAGGCAGGGATGAGTGAAAACACAATCGAGCTGGGACCTGTATGTGATCTGGGCATGCTGATGGGGTCCTGCAGTGGTGTGTACCCCTCTTCCGTGGCGGACACTCCTGCCTGCAGCCACCGTGAGACTGGCTGACACAGACAGCCCTGCCCACTGCAGGGGGAACAAGCAAGCGTCCAAAGGGTGCTGTGAGCACTTCTCGTAAGCTGGGGGAGCTGGGCAGTGAGAGAGGGGGGCCATGAGGGATAAAGCACCCTCTCCCCGTACTGAAATCCCAGGAAAGCTGGCCTAGGGACCACTGACCACCTGGTTTTGTCCTGTGTCCTTGTTGGCTCAAAAGAAGTGTTGCCCTTTTCACGCAGCTGTCCAAGGAGCAGAATTTTCCTGCTTCTGCCTCAGGAAGTGGAAAGGGAGATGAGCTTCCCTGGGGCTTTCCGCAGACACGTCTTATAACCGCTCTCACTTGGACGCAGTATTTGGGCATTGGGTTGTTTTCAGCAAGTCTCCCGCCAGACCGTTTGAAAGAGGAGCAGTTTTATAAACGGATTGAAGCTAAAGACCTCATCCACCTTGTTGCTCTGTTTTATAATGGCCTCTGCCTTTCAGCCCACCTCGTCAGTTTGCTTTGTCATTTAGGGGCAAGGCCTGGTGCGCCGTGGGTGCTGCCAGAAGCCAACACGTAATGTGCCCAGGACGGTGACCTTTCCAAGCGTAGGCATGGGCTCGAATTAGCCCTGGAAGGTGCTTTAAGGAGAGCTACAAATTGGCACTATCAAAATCGCCCCCAGACTGCAGGCAAAAAAAATCACGCTGCGGAGGTCTGTGCTGTGCCTTTGTAATGGGGAGCCTGGCTTAAAGCGGTGTTTGTGGAGTGTTGCTCTGCTTATAACGATCAGAAACGCAATTGCTGCGTGTAAACAAAACTACCTTCCCGGGGTGCTGAAAGATGCCAGCTGTGACTGTTATGAATCCTGTTGAACCCTTTGCTGAAGAAGGGGGAATTACTTCATGTTTTTAGTGAGGTCCAGCATCTAATTTAATATTTACCTTTTTACTTTAAAGGCACCTCTCCTCTCTAGGAAACTCGGACACATGCTAGCAGCTGGCAAAACATCTGTAGCTGGTGGCTTTAAAAGGATCCTTCTCTAATATTCTCTAGGCGTTTTGTCTTCTGATGCGGCATTTGGTGCAAAGCCTGTAACTATCAAAAGAGGTGACATGAGAATTAACTGTTAAAGTAATCATATGATCTGAGAAGACACATTAATAGGAAGTCGGGGGCGCAGGAGGCAAGGAGAAGCTATGTCACAAGATGGAAAGGCTTCTTACTGTAAGACATGTCATTAACATGCAAACGCGTGCTAATGAGAAGCCTGTGATTTGAATCTGTAAAAGCTCAGAGTGGAAAGGGATGACACCGCTGGCTTTGTGCAGGCTGGCCTGGCCTTTCGCAGGCACAGGTCACGCCTCAGTGCGGGTCCCAGCCTGCTTTGACACCAGCGTCCCTTTGGGACGGGGCTGGTGGCGCTCGCTTCGCCGCGCAGACCTTTGCGGCAGCGCTCGCTGGGTATTGGCACTTGGCGTTCTCTCAGGGTTTCATCTGATACTTATCCTGCTCCTTCACGTGTTTGCTTCCCACTCAGCTTCTTGGGCCTACTCGCTGCCAGGGGGAGAGCGAGGCGTAAGCGCGGTGCTCTCCCTCGTATCTCCTGGGCAGCAGCC